CTCGCTTCCTTTTTTTTCTCTTTTTTTTCCTTTTGCTTTTCGTCGTGTTTTTAAAAATTAAAGATTTTGTTTTTTAAAACTGATTACAATGCTACAACAACAGCTGTTTTTGCTTTGTGACCTACTCAACGTTTTAAGTTTAATTATCTGCTATGTTGAATGGCAGTTAATTAGATGCTTCCAAATCAAACTTTATACCTTACTGGAATCGGTGTTTGCATAATAGTTGTGCTGTATTTCAAAAGAAAACTTTCACCATCTATTTTGTCGTTTGTGAATACTCCACTAAAGCTTTCTCAAGTAAGTAAGAATTGATATTTATTTTTTAACACTGTTTTTTAAATCAAAAAACATGTATTTGTTGTAGAGAAAACGAAATAAAATTTTCGCACAAAAGTGTTGTTATTAATTATTACAATGTTTTCTATCTTTATTCCAAAGTTGAAAAATTTGTTTTAGAAAAAGCCAATAATTTTGACCTGGACTAGGTTTTTTCGTGATGATTTAGCCGTTGTAACGAGAGACTCTGAATGCCTGCATGAATGCTTCATTACTGAAGACAGAAGGTTGGTTTTTAAAATAGTAGATTTAAGCGATACTGCGTAAGTCTCGAAAGAAACAGCCTGGGAACAAAAATTTATGTTAAATATTATATATGCTGACTAAGCTTGAAAAAACTATTCTTGCTAATTTTCAGCTACTTAAGAGTTGCTGATGCAGTTGTTTTTCATCTTTTTAATATGCGCCGATCTGATTTACCTTTATTTCGTCTACCAAGGCAGTATTATATATTTCTCACTTTTGAGTCGCCTGAACACAGAATCAGAACATTGGTGAAAAAATATAAAAGAACAAAAAATGATCAGGATTACCAAATTCCAGATAATTTTTTTAACCTGACAGTTACATACAGGTGATAATTATTTCTTCTTTTTTAACTCATAATTTAACTATATTACTGCGCTTATTTTAAATGAATGGAACTGAAACAGAAAATTTATTTTTGAAAACTAGGTGTGCAACTTTTCTGCTGCTGATGTTACAGCATTTTTTTGAAAACCTAGAAAACTAAACTTTTTATTACCAACTTTCTTTGAAGTATATATTCAATTGTATCAACATTGTGTTTGTGAGAAACATTGTTGCTCTAAACTAGTTTTTTCTAACCAACCTTTGAAAACACTTCTTCACTCTGTTTAATTAATAGTCATTTAAAACTTTTTATTGTCTTTGATTTCACAAACATAAAAAAAATTTCTAAAAAAAAAATTTTTTTTTCAAATTTCTGATAATTGAGTGATAACTTGTCTTCTGTGCAATAACAGTGACTTTCTGCAAAAGTGCAATACTTTGTACGCTTGTTTAAAAACAGGTTTTTACTGAGATTACTGTGAAAAATATCTTAATAAAATTAGTCGACGGTCTTCCTTTAAGTTGCTTTAAGTATATCTTCTTTAAACGAGTCAAATTTTTGTTTCAAATTCTGGGTCATTTCTCGTAACGTTTTTGTTACATGTATAACAAGTGTCAAAATAATGTGGAAGAGCGAAATGTCCTAAACAACTGAAATTTCAGGAATATTATTTAATTGTTTTTAAGGGCAGATTCAGATATATATGCTCCGTATGGTCACTTTTTGAGAATTGAGGACAATAGGCAAAGAAGTATTGGCGTGCAATATGTAAGAATAAAATCTTTGCCTAAAATAATCTAATTTTTTCTCTTGCTACCGCATTTTCTAAACTTCTCGCTTTTATTTCGTTCAATTGATTAAGATCTTCAGGATGTCAAGAGCATTTTTGAACGACCAAATCTTGTGCTGCAGTTAGTGTCCAACTGTAGAACGCCATCTCGTCGAGAAAATTACGTTGATCAACTAAAGCAGTACATAAATATTACTCAACTTGGCAAATGTTTTGGTAGAGAATGTTCACCGGAGTGTGAAACTAGTGCCATTAGTATGCTTTTAATGCAAAACTGTTGTAATGATCGTAAAAGGTTACCGTCTAGCTTCGCAACAGAGTGTAGATGAAAGTACTGCTGTGGCTGTTGACTTATCCTAACCTGTCTGTCTCTGGTCTGCTATAAAAGTTTTTTTATCAAAAAAAAACCAATTTTTCAAGAAAGTTTTGCTTATTTCACCATCCAAGATTTGAAGCAATGAGCGGCGATTTCATTAAAGTTCCACATAGTTTGAGGCTAGTTCAAGAGACCTACCTGATTGTACAAGACATTCAAAATTTTATAACTTTGTTGGTACTACTTTATTTTAGGTAAACACAAATTTTACTTATCTTTTGAAAATAGTGTCTGTCAAGACTACATTACGGAAAAAATATTTGATCGGCTAGGATATATGTTGCCAGTTGTTTTAAAGAGGTCAATATATTCCGGA